AAATCCTGCAATCTGATTGGTTCCCTGCAGCAGTGATTTCAGCATAAATTGCACGATTTTGAGCTCTAAATTGCACGATTTTGCACATCATCTGATATGAACCAATCACAAGAGAGACATGTCATTTTCTAGCCAATTATATCAAGGAATCCATCTGAGTGTTGAGCTCACCGCTTCTTGCGAAAAAAAAGAGCCACGGCTCAAAAAAAATTTTCTGAAGAACGATTTTACCGTCAAAAGTCGTAAAAAAAGGCTTTAAAAGCCGTAAAAAGGACTTAAAAAGACCAACTGATCACTTAAAATTGTCAAAAGCATCTTTGTAAAGTAACTGCTTAAGTAAGTTGAAGATATTACAGCGAAAAGCAGTGGGGGAAAGTGCAGTATGCATCTTTTGAATGTGACTTCCTGGCGATTGATGGTGGAAAGTGGTTTCCTTTTCAATCTGTAAAGCATAACAACACATCGGAAATACAGTCATTAAAAGAAGTTTTTCTTAAGAAGAAGATTTTTGCTGAGCTACGTGACTTCTTAAGGACAACTGAAGGCCTAAACAAGCTTTGATTTTTGCTGTTTTCTCGGCACAAGTGTGATCTTAGCATGTTGAACAGAAATCGTAAAAATACAAGCAGTGAGCATTGGCTGTATGGACAACAGCCAGTTCATTACAACCCTTTTGGGCAGGATTGTCTTGCTATTTAATGTAAGTAATTGATCCTTAATACGTGTAATGCCTTTTGGTCCGATATAAATTCATTTTAGTTTTGGATTGAAAGTGTTGGTTTTCAAAATGAGAATCATTGCTCGATCAGTATAAACAAGTTCTCTTGACAGCATGTTTGAATCGACTGCTTTTAGATTGTAAGTCATGTCGGTTTAACTGGAAAAAACGTCTTTTTCAAAAAAGATTTCAAAATGGATATAATAAAGTGATAATTGAACTTCGTGTCGTGCAATTTTGGTCTGAAATCAAACTTGCAATTACAAATCGCACTCCCGCTACGCGGTCGTGCGATTTTGTAATCGCGCGTTTGATTTCAGACCAAATTGCACTCCACTCATTTCAATTACCATTATTAATCATTTTGTCATTAATCACCCGCATGAAATCGTGGGTCTTCCCCTAATTTTTGCGGATCCTCAATTTTATGTAGTAAACAGCACCATAATAATAGTTTATTTCTACTCGTTTTTATTCTGATATCTAGGATACTGGCAAACTATATGGTATGGCGCGTGATACAGAGTATGATTGGGTGGCTTTCTAAGCCTTTCAGGGACGCACTGACAAGGTACGATCACGCAACATGGGGTACTACATCTGAAAGAGTGCGTTGGAAAAAGTGCATTGATTCAACTTTTCAATCTTTTGAAGACGTAATAACAGCTGCATATGTCAATGAAAATAATGCGCAACTTGCAGAGAAAATAAGCTTGGTAAGTGTTCGTGATTCTAGCAGATTATGCGCAACAATGTTGTAGCCCGAAGGCATCAGGTAATTGACTAGCTGGCTGCCAGTCCGTACCTAATCCCTTGTAAGATCTCCAACGTGAGTGCAAACTAATCTTGTCGATCTATCACTTTTCACGACTATTCATTATTTATGAATATTCAAAACGGTTTCGTAAATTTTCTGCTCAACTGTCGATCTGTAGCACACACAAAAAAAGGTTTTAGCGTTTACTATGATTATGAGTATGAAAAACTTTGGTTGAAGATTTTTTTCAAGAACAAAACTAGCCCCTGACGAAATTCCTAAGTGTGGATGTGGTCCAGAGCAAAAAACACGCACGAAAAATGACTGTTTTGCATTTTGGTTGAGATTTTTCGCTGGTTTTCATTAGGAGGGATATTATCTTGATCTCGAATAACAAAATTAATTGAAAAGTTTTGTTTCCTGATCGCTCGCCTTCGACTAACACTATTGGTGACCCATCGAGTTGATCGTTTATGGCTTGACTATAGCTACGTAACGTAAGTCCGTGYACACCATATGTACATGGTTGATTTAAAAGCAAAACTTGTCAGAACAGCATAAATAAACATTGTTAACTGTTTAAACGAAAAGTAATGTTCAAGAATTCATGTGCTTTTCAGTGAACGATCCTATTGATGGTTTTCAACCATTCCCAAGAGAATTAAATAACAAAAGACACGGCGGCCATGTTGTAGGATATAACAAAAGAATTCATTGACAATTCTTTTGTTAAGTTCATCCAACATGGCCGACGTGAAAACCATCAATATTTTTAGCACTCTAATAATAGTTTTCTCCGATTGGCAATTTAATAAATTAATTTCTCTCAATAATAGTTTTCTATTCTGACAATATTCTTAGCGTTGATTCTACGTGTGGAATTGCTATTGAAACGACACCAAAACATTTCATAGTTTGAATGCAGCTTCTTGGAGTTGTAAAGGTTTTTCCATGTCAATGCTAATCACGCTTTTAGGCAGTACTTTATAATTTATATCTTATGTATTTTATGTACAAAGGCAAGAGAAATTGTGAATGAAGATGTTCAAGCTTTTAAAGACAATGTTAACTCGCTGACCTGGTTAGATGATGCAACTAAAAATGAAGTATATCAAAAGGTAGGTCGTTAATGTAAAGACCAGCTTATAGTCAAAACACCTCAAGAGTAAACACGTAGAGGTCTTTAAAGACGCAACATATCAAGCTTTATGTTAGTGTCGAAGTTGGAGTAGAGAAAGCTCACTCCGTATATGGTATGATCAATTCCATATTTGGATTGTGCGTAAAAGCGGCATACAAAAAGGCCGTCGTTTTAAATTATAACGAATTCGACATGAACAATTTTGAAGAAGAAAAGAAAAGAAAAAAAAGACAAGTAAAAAAAGAAAACCTTTGGAAAATCGAGGAAGGATACAAGACCGTGTGTAAGAGTGTATATTTGTAAAATCATTTGTCATGCATTTCATACTTTTCACCAGCTTGTAAACAGTAATTCTTTAACAAAAAATATATTAAACTATTAACAAAAAAATATAACCTAAAGGATAAAAGTTAATGGATAAATTTGATGTAAGTATGTAAAAGGACGTTACTAAAACAGGGAAGGGAATTGGGGAATGACCGGGAATGGGGAATGTGGAATTGAAGATGGGACGAGCGATCAGCAGTTATTACTTTATAGACGGAAAATCAATATTAGTCGTGACAAGAACAGTCATGAATTAGCTGAATATGAATCTAAAGTAATACTTATTGATTATCACTCTCCCTTTTATCGAATATTTTTAGTACGATTACGAACCACTGCCGTGGAATATTTGGCAAATTTTTCATTATAAAAAAGCGCCATGACACTTTTTAAGGGTAATACCGCTGATCGTTCACCCCAGTCTTCAATTCCCCATTGCACATTCCCGGTCATTCCCCATTCCCCATTCCCTATTTTAGTAACATCCCAAGTGAAACATATGCCTTACTGCAGTTTTACATTTTCTGGGAACTCAGACATTCCAACGGCTTGTTGTGAAATCAAAACTAATTAGTCAGTTCATGTTTTCGATTGAAGGCAGCGAAAAACCATTTCACGACAAGTCGCTGGAATGTCTGAGCCTTCGCAGAATATGAAAAACCGCAGTAACGTTGTTATTTAAAACCATCAATATGATTGGGTAATCGTTTCCCTCAGATCAAATGGAATGCTGTTGTGTTTTCCCATCCATCGCACACCATGGTGACTGACTTTATTTTTCTCCCTGATCTGTACTCTTTAATTCAATCTGTAAATTATACTTGCTCTGATTTATATAAGCCCAAGGGTTGTTTCGGGGTTGGATCTGTGTCAGATATCCCTGTTTTGATTTAAATCAGTCAAGAGATAGAGATACAGTGAGATAGCTATGCCCTGATTTAATTTTTCCAGAGGTTGTTTAAGAGTTCAAACTGTGAGTTACCTGTGCACCGACGTAGATCAGCCCAGAAGTTGTGTTAGAATTCAATTTGTGAGTTAAACCTGCTCTGAATTAGACCAATTAATAATTTGCTTCCGAGGTTTAACCTGTGAAAAACTGTACCCTGACTTAGATAACCGCTGCTGTTTTAACAGATTGACAGCTTAAGATTCGAGGTCGGCTTCCCCAGTTACATGTTAAACAGCACAAAAATGGCTTCAATATTCGAAAAATACAGAAACGTAAGTACATAATTTGGGTGTCAAATCGTGGTGTGTTAAATTGTGGTGCGATCAAAAACTCACTAGAGACGACATCTTTCAATTCCAGCTGAATATCAAAGCTGCAACATATTTCAAAAACAAAGTAGCAATCGGAAAGAACAATCGACAGCTAATACTACAAGACATCAGAAAGCCATACGATGATGCATTGTAAGTGCAACAAAGAGTGGTCAAAACTTATAGCACGAGAGGGAGGGTGCGATGATGATGATGATGGTGGTGGTGGTGGTGGTGGTGATGGTGGTGGTGATGGTGTGGTGGTGATGATGACGTGTTGATGATGGGATGGTGTTTATGATAATGATTATGATCAGATGATCAACATTATTATTATTATTATTATTATTATTATCCTACTTGTTTGTTTGTTTGTTTAAGATGGGATTTTATGACTCCTCTTACGACAAATGCAGGATTCTATTATGTAACAAGTGTAATAAGTAAGTAATAAAAGTTTTCGAAATTTAAATCAGATAATCGACTGATTCTAGCTTTGTTTTTGTTGAATAAAGCTCTCCCAGCTGCCATTCTTCAGCCACCAATCTTATTTTCTAACGAATTCCTAAGGTGAGCTGATGATTTCTGATTCATATATATAGCGTCCTTTCTATATGGATAACCAATGGTGCTTTACATTGAGTTATGAATTCCAGACTGCATTTTATGAAACTTACAAACATCAGAGGTGGTAAGTATGCGTAAGCACTGAGGTTGGTCACTGCCAGGGTTTCTCAGGCCCTCAGTGTTATTTCACGTCCCTCCAATGTTGGTTAGTAATGATGAAGTCCCAAAGTCCGATGTTCAACAACTGAGCCAGCCGGGTGACTGGACCGGGTAGATGAAATAACAAGTTTATTTGCATATATGGTTTTGGGTCTTTTTCTTAAGGGGATGCAATCGTGAATTCGTGCGCATCTTTTCTGCGCACGCGCTCCTTATTCATTTTCGAGGTATTCATTGGTTGGGCTTCCTGTGGAGGAGCTCATCATCTTTAATGGCGATCTAAAAATCTTAAATCGTGACCTACATTTTTTGACTGTAAGTCCAGGTTTATTAAAGCTACAACATATCAAAAAATTCGAATTCAAATTTGCAACGCTCGTTTTATTATTGCAAGCTTCAAAGCAAAATGAAAATCWTTCGACAATAAACTGAATCTTTGAGCTGGTTTGACTGTAATCTGTTTTAATGTAAATTACTTTTATTTACAGAGCTTATAACATGGGAAAAATGGGTTTCATTGTTGCTCACGAAATAATGCATGCTTTTGGCATTAATGGTAATTCATGAAGTCAACTAATTAACAATTATTCTTACTGCATACATAATTGGCAAGTCACGTAGGAATTTAGCAACCCTCCATTTATGGACATGTAATGCCTTGCGACCCCTCCATATATAAGGGCCACACCCAGATCCTTGAATCATTTCGTCGGAAGCTGCCCAAGGAGAGAGTAGAAGATTCACCCCACCCACCTCCCCTGGTGGCGGTTGACGACGCATCGCATGCTTTTCGCATGCTCATTGCCAGCAGTCGCGGTCACCTTCCATATCTTAATTCCCGTGGCTCAGTAATGAGTATGCAGTGAGGATATAATACAAAAATTTAAGTAAAACGATCGATGCACAGCCTGGCTGTTGCCGTTGTGTAAGGATTTAAGGTTTTGCCCCTAAACTTTACAATATTTCGATACGTAACTGGCAGGTTTTACCAAATAAGGCGTGCAAACGTTTGTTAGGCATGAAAAAGTCCGTGCATAGAAGTATGCAATGAATACATTAAATGTGGTCAAACGTTTACGCGTTGCGCTGTAAAAGTCATCCATGATTAGACGTTTTCTTCTTCGCACATTGTCCGCCAAAAGGAAAAAAGTTAAACCGATGTTCAGTGTTATTGGTGGTTCACTGCTAATCGTATTAAATTTCTAGAACAAATGTCAACATTCATGAATATCTTTTTAAGAGAACAGCAACACATCAATGTCCAAAACGCCTTCCTATTCTGAGCTACAATACGAAGACTCGTGATTCGAAATAATAACCGAGTCAAATCTCGAATTCTGATTGGATTATTTCTGATATAGAACACCATAGTCCAATCAGAATTCGAGTTTATTAGTTTGAATCGTTTATTAGTTTGAATCCTGAGCCTATTCTCAGCTAATAAATAATATCAATATTTGAAAAATGAAGCCATTAATAATAAATTAATTAATTAAATTAATATTAAACATTACGTGTTTGTTTAATAGGTAGACGCTATGACAAGGATAGAAAAGAGAGAAACTGGTGGTCAAATCGTGCGCTTACAGAATTTCATAAAAGAGTAAAATGCTTCGAAAACCAATATTCAGGATACAAAATAATAGGAAAAGTGCCAGTAAGAGTTTAATCGAAATTTAATCGAACGCAAAATAACTATAAGCTTTGTATCGTTAGAATGGCTTAAATAGCACTCGGATATCTTGGATGTAACTTGTTTTTATTTTAACACTCGACCATCCATGTGACAGCCATTTTACATCCCCTCACTTAACACAGGGAACCCATACATTGTTGGGGAACCACAGGGAACCCATCATACAACAAGCTTTAAGGTGGATACCAACTAATTCCGAGCGAATTTTGGACAATTTTATTCTCACTCGCTTCGGGAAACTAGCCCGTTAAATTAACTGGATCTTTCACATATTGTACTTTGATTATCCTAAAATCTAAGAGTGTACTTTATTTTACATTCCACAAGGTTAATTTTGGATCAGGTTTGAGAGAATCTYTGTATAAACACAATGGCATTGATGGTGTCGTTAAGCTGGTGTTACGCAGKACGATTCGCAACGACGATTTATCGCGATACGACTCGTCCATTTTTAATACGTGTTACACTAGTCAACTTTTCGAAAGCATGTTACACTGGACGATTTTTAGCGATTCTTAAAAGCAAATTCATCGTGCCCAGTCCTCGCGCTGTCTCTGTCAAAGCCGCCATCTTATTTGTTGACATCGCCTCGCTTGTATTAGAGATTGAATTGCAATTTGGGTATCCGAAAAATCGTTGATGAAGCTGTTGCACGAATCGAGTTGCAAAAAATTCGCCTTTCTGCGTTGCGAGTTTTGAAGCTGAAACAAAAACTTGTAACGCGCTGCCGAATCCGAAAATCGTTGAACGTGGCATGTTACACGGCATCGATGTTTTCATGCAACAGTGTCGTCCCGTGTAATATCAGCTTTATGCAACTAATTCATAGAATATAAAGTTAACGACCATGAATTTACTTGATTGACGGAAGTGTATTGACCAATTTTCCTCTCGATCGCGCGACTGTTGTCAGCGCGTAGCAATGAAAAGAGTGGTAAACCAAATAGCAATGTTCCAGGTCTTCGTAACCTTACTAGAATTGTGTTTATTATTAGATCAACGGAAAGAACACAGCTGAGGAGAATGTTGCAGACAACGGCGCTTTAAAAATAGCTTTCAAGGTACCGAATGTTTTAAAATTTTGTTGAATGACAGAATCAGGTGACGAGATAGTACAGGCATCAGTTGTGATGGGAGCGCATGAACATTGGATGAGGAAAGCTGGAAAAAAATTGCTTTCAGCAATAAACGACTACGAGAAAAAGGCATGAAAAATTATTGCCTTGAACCATCGACGATCAAATGATTTTTTTGCAGGAGAAATTTGGTGAACATCTTTCTACAAACTAGTTGGTGTCATTCATTTCACATTAACGAATTTACCTCAGTTTTTTATGTGTCTGTTCTCTTATTGACTATAAATTGCGTCATCATATTGTCAAAGTAGTGTGCATACTACCTTGACTAGTGAATGTGATGAGGAAATTTATCGTCGATAAGAGGAAAGACATAATGATGTATATTTGTTTTTTACAATAACAAAAAGGATAAGAACCTCTTATTTTTAGTGATCAAAACAACCAACGGAAAGAGCACGCGCTCGTTGACGTCAGCTTTATCTGTCCTCTTATTGATGATAAAAAATAACCAATCAGCGCGCGAGAAATTTGTAAGTTATTGTAAAAGTTTTATTCGTACACCTTTCTAAACAGTATGTTTTTCAGGTATATAAAACTTGGGCTAAGCAATACCCCAGTGAAAAATGGCTGTTACCTGGACTTGATAACACCAATGAACAGCTCTTTTACCTTGGACTTGCTCAGGTTAGCGTCGATTCTTTTTTCTGGACACAGAGCTCTACTTGTTGTGGGTCTGGAAACGAAAATACCCTAAATGGACCTTCGCGTGAGTGAGTGCTTTCTTGCTGTGTCCTTCACCCTCTGGTTACAACTGTTATCAGCAAGTTTGGTAAAAATGTCTCTTTGAGGCCCACATTCTTTATTTGCTACCATCTCTAAATAGACACTTCATTGCCAGTATACTTTTGTGACTAGTATTCCTCAAAAGGTAGTAAATGTCAGTTTTTTATTGTTTCACACAGAACTTTTGTGGTAACTCTACTCTTGAAGTCCGATTCAGCAATAATGACGAAAGAACTCATACAGATGACAAGTTCAGGTATGTGTATGACAACCGGGATCAACCAAGGGAAGGTTCATAATTTATGCAGGCGGGTGTTGGTGGATACGAAGGTTTTAGTTTTTTTTTTTACGTAGTGGTTTACACTTCCACTCTTCCACTCCTTCTTTAGTCTGAATACTTGAGCTTAACATCGTTTCTCGGATTTTTACGTAATTTTATACATTATTTATTAGTTTCGCCATATATCAAACTGGAAATATAATAACTGGAAAAAAACACTGTGATATATATGACAGGGTGACCGCAACAGCGTTAAGCCAATTACTGCGGGCCCAAATAATGTCTTAAATGAAACTTAGTGCATAAAGATAATTTAAGTAGATATATTGACACATTTGATTCAAATAACTAGCAACAGGAGGTAGCAAGAGTGAGGCTTCTGCAAGAGTTACATTTTAAACAGACTGTTTTAAAAGTACGTGGGTCGTAACAGTTGTAACTGTCCAGTGACGTTACATAGTAACTTAACATGGCGAGTTTAAATGTGTTGAGTTTGTCCATGTTCAGATTTAGTTCATCAGCGAGAGCGTTCCATATTCTAGATGTCCTGATGAGATAGGATTTCTGGTACGTAGAGGTCTTGCACTGACGTACTGCGTACTTGACAACATTACTGTTTGATGATCTTGTTAGTCATGTACGTCGAGGAACAGGTAGTAGATTAGGCTTCACGTGTATCAGGTTGTGCGTTAGTTTAAAGAAAAAAATCATGTCAAGGTATTCATGCCAGTAAGCTATTGGTAGTAAAGACAGAGTTTTCAAACTCGAGCTGTGAGAGACGGTGGATGAGAATGGCAGTTTGAGGATGTATCTTGTGGCACGTCGTTGTGTTTTCTCAACTCTTGATATTAGTTCAATAGACTGTGGTGCCCATATTTGTGATGCGTATCCAAAGTGAGCACGAACGAGAGTAAGATACAGCGTTCATCTCACGGAAATACTTTGGATGTATCGAGTGTTTCTTTTGACGTAGCCCAGCAGTTTGTTAGCTCTAGCTGTTTGTTCCAGTACCTGCTTGTTCCAAGTCAATTTGTTGGATACCCAGACACCCAAATCGCGTTCAGCTTTGACGGATACGAGTTCAGAGTTCTTGAGACTGTAGGAAGATTCCACGGGTCTGATTTTTCTTGTTATTCTTTGCGCCTTACATTTAGTCTCATTGAACGTGAGACCGTATGACGAAGACCAAACGTGCAGGCTGTTTAAATCAGTCTGTAGCGACGCAGCATCTTAAAGAGACTTGATATTTTTGTAGATTTTTGTATCATCAGCGTACATGGAATAAAATTGAAATTGGAATAAACTTTCAGAACACGGAATTATCATGGCAAAATATTGGCGACAGCTAACTCGGAACAGACCCTCAAATTTTATCCCCAAATTGTAGCAATATAGGCAAATTTTCTAGCAAAGTTCAAATTTTCATGTTGCTCAAAGAACACTCGGATGTCAATCATTTGGTTATTGTGCTATCTAAAATTGCTACAATATTTGCGAAACAAAACGAAGTCCCGTCATATTTTTGACCTTGAAGTTATGAGGTTCATATAAAGGAATGAGGAATGATTGGAGTCCGACTACGCGGCCATCGCATTCGTATTTTGTTCTTTGTCAATCTCACGAAATGACCAATGAACACTCGGTTTATAAAATACTGGCATCTAATGAACATTTTGGTGGGAAATTCTACTTGTTTGGCGCAAAACAAAAAAACAAAAAAAAAAACATCATTTCCTTTTTTTTCCGAAGCACTTTTCTTCGTTTACTACGGAAAGTCAGAATGTTGTTTACGTCTTGGTCGGCTCTTTTATTAGTTGGTCGTGGTTAAATGAAGAGAAATGAAACTCCGACACTGGAAATATAGTCGATAGGTCAAAACCCTGCTTTTCCAGATATTACGAGCACGTAGGCTTGCGATTCGTAAACTTGAAGGTTTTTGCAGAGTTATTCTTCTAGATTCGATTCTAGATATCAGAGAAAACCCTTGTCTTAACCGAACTACCTTTCCAAGGGCAACAACCTTAAACGTTAGTGAAAATGCGAGAAACGATTGACTATGATTGATAAAACTTGTTTCAAATGAAAGCGATATTGCAAGTCGACGACCACAGCAAATGTCCTGCTTAATAGGGCAACTTGTTTAAATTTAAAAAGTTTTAAAAAAGCAAGAATTAGTGTGAGTACATATGTCATTGGGACTGTTTACAGATCCTGCTCACATAAGTACAGTTTATTTTGATAACTATCTTTTTAACTCCACACACACACACACAACATCCTCATAATCCCCTCTACATTAGTTATGTTTTCATAACCATTTGCTCATTACAGGGTTATTGGTTCGCTGGCAAATTCATGCGAGTTTGCCAATGCATTCAAGTGCAAAAAGTACAGCCCAATGAATCCAATCAAAAAGTGCTATCTGTGGAGTAAAGAAGGACCATTGGACTAGGAGCGTGTTAGTCCCGTCCCTTTCACAGTTCCCTGCACCATCTGCGCCTCTGCGCCAAGGTAGCCGTGTCTTTGCATGGAAGCGAGACGAACAGTGAGCTTGCAATGATAGAGACCTGTGAATAATTGTCCAAGGTGTTAAAAAAAGTCTCTATCATTGCAAGCTCACCGTTCGTCTCGCTTCGATGCAAAGACACGGCTACCTTTGAAGATGGCGCAGGGAACTGTGAAAGGTACTATTGTTACTTACCAGCCTAAAATCGCCGGATTTGCTTGGTTTTAAACATAGAAATTCATTATCATTGAATAAAATGTATGTTTAAAGATGCGTAGTGTGTTGTTTCGGTTGAATTTCCAATTCCATTGATTGAAAAATCTTTTACAATCTTTTACAAAACCTCCAGCCCCTGTCCTGGGCTCTTCAGTGAGGTTCTCATCACACGCACTACCACTGCATTCTTTAATTACAACAAGGCATGCTGCTTTAGGTCTTCATCCAGGAAAACTCTTCAAATAGCTAAAAAGAGCTCTGCCAAAAATACTGTTGGACCAAGGGATGTCAAACCTACTTAAAATGAGTGCTCGAGTTATCTAATGAATGTGAAACGGTGAAACTCTTCAGGATTTACAACTAGTAATAATGATAACAAAACTTGCTATAATACTTCGTTAAAACATGTAATATAACTCTACTCTACTAATTAACTAATACTATAACTAATAATGTGTGCATTATAATATAAAATATAGCATATGCTTTCCAAGAGTTTCGTCTATACTAAGAATAAATTAATTGAAGAAATTAATAGTCCCCTTCACAGTTCCCTGCGCCACCTTGAAAGGTAGCCTTTGCATCGAAGCAGGACRAACGGTGATCTTGCAATGATAGACATGCGAATAATTGTTCAAGGTGTTAAAAAAAGGTCCATATCATTGCAAACTCACCGTTCGTCCTGCTTCGAAGCAAAGGCTACCTTTCAAGATGGCGCAGGGAACTGTGAAAGGAACTGTTGAAGAAACAGCCTGCTCGAAATTGCCTCAGAGTACTCTAAACATCAAATGCATGCGTTTTTTAAAACAATACTTAGATCTTTAAGCTTGATCAAATCATTTTTGCTTCAATATTTTCATTTTGGGAGGTCTTTTCGTCCAGACGGTGCTTTTTTAAGGAAAGATGAGACCCTTTCGTTAGCCTTGGGGCTACAACAAATAACTTAAACAAATTGCATGTCTCAATTTGAAATTCATTTTTACTTTCCAGTTTGCACGAGGCCTTAATGGAGTTATCATGCAATGATTGAATCCAATGGTTCGCGCAAATCATTTAAGTTATTTTCCTTTAACGGCTGGCCATCTCTGAATTAGAACTTTCGAAACTCTGAGCTCTCTAAATTTCGGAATTATTCGGAACGAAACGGTTTGAACAACAATTGAAATACTTCGGTGTCGATAACTGAAGATAATTTCTCAATTATTAATATAACTTTCAAAGCTTCGCATGTGTTTTCCATAGTGCGGCGGCAAATAGTTCAATAATAGTGCCGGTATCCAAAATGGCGGGACAGAATTTTTTTTCTTCTTTTAAATAGTTTATTGATCTGTGTATATAAATTTATTTGTATTTGCATTACCTAAGAAGAAAGGGGATTTTAATATTAGAATTGAAAGGTTTAAAGTGAAGGATAACTCAAACCGGGATATTCTCATTACTGGGAATTAACTCCATGCTGTATACCGCTGACTTGGAGGGACTGCGGCTCCATAATAATAAAGAGTGGGAGGACTTGCCGCTCATGCGTCGCAATCGCCGGAAGAAAAGAATAATAGCTGTTAGGACGATCACACAGCAGAATATAAAGACGACACGAAACTCTACTTCACTGGCGTAACTGGTCAAGAAATAATACGAGCTTTTGCTACTGGAATACTGTGAATGAAGATGGTTGTGCTGGATCTCCCTGTAGAAATAACAGCGTGAGAACGACACATTATTAGTGTATTTTAGGCTAAGAAACTGTCTACATGTTTCGATATTTAAAGACATCGCCGCATTCAATTTATTCAAAGGTGTCGAATTCTTGTAAAACATATTGACATGCACGCACACGTTATCGTTTTTCTCGAGTATTACGCCACACACACAGCTAAGCGGTGAATTTTTTCAGCCAATCAGAGCGTGTTTAGTCGTTTTGCCGACGGCCTTCATTGCGAGGCTACTTCAACCAAAATTTTTCCGTTTTGTTTTTTCTTTTTCCGTTGACTAAAATATAATGTACGTACCTACAAGAATCAGAAATATGGAAAGGAAGGTTTAAAAACAATTTCGCTTAACCGCCACGTTCTTTCAAGCTCCAAAAAGGCTTAGGGCCGGTCATTTTGCCCACTCATGGCGCGACGCGTTTACCGCTCACCCACAAATGTTCTCAGAAGTTCATAACAAGGAGTGTCCATCTGGTAATGTACTTCTGATGTTCTATCATTTTCTAGCCTGGTAAGAAAACCGTATATATTGATAATGACCCACTCACCTTAGAGGAAGGAATCGGGTACGGTATAAAATGGCCCCTAGAGTCCACTGGACTTCCTTATCTTCTATGAACTGGGCAGAGTAAAGTCCATCATAGTAAAGAGGAAATTTAAATCCTTGATGTAACATGGTGGTCATCCAAGCTGATTTGAAGCATTGATATCTAAACAAAGCGCAAAAAAAAAAAAAAAAAAAAAAAAAAAAAAAAAAAAAAAAATTGTAAAAATTAAAAAATTAAAACATCTCAAAAATTAAAAAAACACAAACGTATAGTCAGGTGAATGGCTTTGCTGTTTATTGGACCCTTCTTAAACGTATCTTGGCTAACATAGAAATACAAAAGAAATCACGCTTTTTCTCGATGGAATTTGTGGTAGTTCTTTTGTATTTCCATGTTAGTCYTTCAAGGAAGGATTTTAAAATCACAATTCGTTATCTCAAGGGTTGCGTCGAACTAGTCGCAACGCTTCCACAAATACAACCAGTAAAGTAAAACCAATGTATATCTTCAAATACGAACAGAATCCTACCTTAACCTGTGGTTATCAGCAAAAGGATATAGTCCTTTGGTGTGTCTCATTCGCAGAACATTCCATCTCGTACTGCAGAAATCCTTCGAAAAACACAATGAAAGTTAGAAGTATAAAATACGAATTAAAAGAAGAAACAGGCTCCCCATGAGGGTTTGTTTGAAGGACTTCCTTCTTACAAGACACTCAGCCAGTACTGACTCAGTTGGCCTATTAAGTCAACAGAGAACTGAGAATCTCGTATTTCTTTCAAACAATCAACTAACCTTGGCGGCCATTAAACTCTTTTACCAAGAGATCTTAAACTATTGAGTGTTTTACCTATTTCAATAAAGTTAGACACCAACAGCCTATATAGCTGAGATCACAGAGGATCATGGGGAAACAATACATTTCAAACAAGTAAAACCTGTTTTGATACATACTGCAGCTTGAGGATGCTCAGAAGAGGTGTTACTGTAACTGGTAAAAGATGTGCAAGTCCATCAACAGTTATCAAGCGGTTGAAACATGTAGAATGTATCTACCCATAATCCTTGTCGCTCTCGCCTTTGTAGCTTTACAGGTGAGTAACTTTATTGAAATAAGTTTATAACACTGAAGCTAGCCTTGAGCAATAGAGAACTGAGAATATTGTTTGATAGTCCTCTTCACAGTTCCCTACGCCATTTTGAAATGTAGCCGTGTCTTTGCATCGAAGCGAGACGAACGGTGAGCTTACAATGATAGAGACCTTTTTTAACATCTTAGACAATTATTCACAAGTCTCTRTTATTGCAAGCTCACCGTTCGTCTTGCTTTGATGCAAAGGCACAGCTATCTCTCAAGATGGCGCAGGTAACTGTGAAGGGGACTATTGTGAAACGTCTTTAAAATGATACAATTGAAAACCGAAGTCAGTTTCCGTAAAGGATTTTTGTGTCCTCTATGCATTTGAGGGTCTTTCGGGAGTCCATTCCAAATGTGAATGGAACTGTGAAGTCGACTATTGTATTTCAAACAAAAAAGAACTAACCTTGGCTGCTTTTGTCATCTTATCTGCTTTATAATGTCCTCCRATCCTCAACACATCATGCATAGAATACCAATACTCTGAGAAGCCATAGAATTCCTTATTGGTATTTTGAGGTTGATACACACCATTAAACGAACATGGAGATTTGGAACAGTGCACAGAGGTGTTTAGTAAAGGGAAAATGTTCTTTTTGCATTGAAGAAAGTCTCCTGTCCCTATGAAATGATATTTCCTTCCTCTATTGGTACTTTYTTCGTGGTATTCCAGTGGTAAACAAGGATCAGTGTAAGCACCTAACGTTCTGCAAAACGCACAACAGTGTTAGTCCCATTCATTACCTTACTTGCTTCGTCTACTCTACTTTGCTTGTTATGATGAAGTACTTTTTCTCTCCACCTCCCCCCTCCCCCCTTTTCCCGCACTTTACCTTCAGCTTAATACGAGCATTCAATTGTATTCAACAAAAAAATATATGGCCTCTTATTCTCCCTGCATATAAATTGGTGGAATCGTGACCAGTCCCTGGTATCACTTACTTATCATAATCCTCCGTTCTATTTGTCAGTACATAATCTACATATCTTTCTCTGGCCGCGTTGCCRCCAAACCCAAGGAAGGTAGCTACATAGACACGGTAATTGTGAATAGTCTCGTGGGAATCACAACCTAGATTAACTTCAGCCAAGAGATCTGATGGAACATATGTCTAAAATAAAAAATATAAAAAATAATGATAATTTATGATTTATATAGCACGCTTTCTATATATACTTATTTCAATAAAGTTAGTCACCAAAAACCTAGAAAGCTGAGATCACTGAGCATCATGGGAAACTTTTACATATATATACAAAGCTTTAATAATACAAACTGCAGCTTCATGATGCTCAGAAGAGGTGAGACTGTAACCGGTAAAAGATTTGTAAGTCTATGAACAGTTATCAAGCGGTTGAACGCGTAAAATGAATCTACCCATAATCCTTGTCGGCCTCAGCTTTATAGCTTTTCAGRTGACTAACTTTATTGAAATAAGTGTATATATAGCGATTTCAAAAAAGGTTTTCAAGAAAAGATTTTGTTGCATATTGTATGTTGCATATAAAGCTCGAAATGAATTATGGGCAATGTGAATACAATCAGCACAAGGTCACCACAATATGAAAATTGGCCCTTTGCAGTTAACGGTCACGTGTCACGGTTACTGGTGAGCAAAATTTTTTCATTTATTTTAAATTGGTGATTCTTTTTAGCTACTTGTAAA